GGCTGTGAACCCAGACTGGAGAGAGAAAACGCCCTCACTGAAGAGGGTAAACACGAGGGGTTGGATTTAAGATGCAGCTCAATCCTCATAATTTCCTGGTAGCTATTTTAAGAAGTCTGCTCCAGGGCGTGGGTGCAGTCACTGCACTCCAAGCCAGGCCTGTGCTGCTGGCCAAAGGGATGGTCTGACTCATGTTCTTCCTCGGTTTACTTGTTTCCGCTCCGTCCCATGCACAAACACTGGTGTTCCCACAGCAAGTCACATCTGGGAATTACAATCCTGTGGGTTTTTTTGGGCATGTTTTTTGGAGTAGGGGTGTGTGTCAAGTTAATTTCAGTGGGTTGTACTCTCCGCATAATTATTTCTTTGTGGGAACAGGCAGACAAAAACGGAGAGAGAGGAATGGGTAGGTCATCCCCACACTTTTGGTCAGCAGCATAGTTTTAAAATGACTGGGTAACCTTTGCACGGGGATGCTGCCTGTTGTTAGGCCCGTGCTGAGGGATATAACGGAAAGTATGGATTTTGTGGTGGGGAGGGACCCAGGCTTGTTGGTGGGTGCCACCCTTAGGTCCTGCCTTTGCTGATGTGTAGAGCTCTGTAAATGCAGGCAGCCCCATATTGTCCAGGGGTAGCAACACATACCTCTGTGAACTTGCTGCAGTGTGCAAGTGAAAAACTCTGCTTTTGATGTTACATGTAAGATTTGCAGTCATTGCTGCACAAATCTGAGTTTTCTCTTGCAACAGCCTGGGACGCTGCTACAGCTTACTGTCATCTGCGTTCTCTCTTTTCTGGCTGTAGCTTTTACCTATGCTTTTATACCACAGGTCTAAGTGCTTTCTTACTGGAGTTTGGCAAGCGGGTTGTGTTTGCGGCCTGTGGGGGAATTGGGAGGACTATGGGTGAATATTCTGATAGTCCTTCTGGACTGAACATTTATTTCAGGGTTCTCTGCAACTGGTGGTTCTGAGGGTTAGGAGGGAACGTAACTCTCTGCTGCTTACAGTTGCTGGGGGAATTCACAATTAAAAAAAAAAGCCTAAAAAAGGGGTAGTTGGGAAGTTACAAAAAATAGAACAAAAATCCACTATTTAAAAAGTCCAACTCCTGAGGCAGACGGTTCCTTGCTTTAAGCTAATCAGTAAGGACTTTTCCATCCAGCTTCAACAGGTGGAATGTTAACGTCTTAATGGTAATAAGGGAGCCAAACTGCTGCTTGTGTTCATTATATAGACCTAATATATGCATTTCAGATAGGTACATGAGACCAAAAAAGATGATAATGATAGCATTAAAAATAAAAAGGGAATTAGCTTACAGAAGTTCTCTGGAATAACTAAAACTTACCTCAGCTCCAAGAAAAGTAGTGAAGAAAATCAAATCGGGTAGACATATATAGTAGTGAAGCATTTATTGCTGATAAATGGAATATTAAATTCCACTTACTCAGTCTGAACAGAACATGTGGATACTTTTAGCCTGCTTAAATGCTTAAAGAATCGGAATTATTCAGGTGAATATTAGAACTCAAGTATAGCACAGTAGGTTGTATGGGCGACCTGTTACTCTGTGAGTGAAGGACTGTGCCTTGCCTTGCGTAGGCTGCAATCCAAGCTCTGCATTCAGAGACATGATTTGGTTAGCATGGAGTTCCAGGTTATGTGCATTAGCTGAGTCGTTGTCAAACATGAGAAAATCTGAAATGTTTTCACTTACTGCAAGCCAGACTAAGATTCGTGGCTTGCTGTTTGATGCAGGCCAAATCTGTGCACCCATGCTGTTGCCATGGTTCAGCTGATGTGTGGTAGGCAGAACGGTTGACCATGGCTCAGAGTCCTGGGTAGGTGGAGAAGGCTGTGTAGGCAAAGGTAGCTGGCTGCTGGAGAAGTGGGAACAGAAGATGATGTAGATGAGATGAGGTGGTGGGTTTGCAGAAGAGGCTTTGCTCGCACAATGCTAGCTTCTCTTTATCAATAACACTTTCGTTATGTGATTTGTTTGGAAGGATAGAACACAAAGACATGGTATAAGAAGGAATTTCGGTTGAAGGAGATACAGGAGCAGGTAGTCTGACAGTTTCTGTAGAGGCTACTGGAGGCCTTAGCGCAGCCCTACTTTGTTGCGTGAACTTTATCTCAGAATAATAGGCTACAATAAGGAGAGAGGGAGAAAGCAGAGAAACATCATTCTTATTTCTAGCCTTCCAAAAAGAGTGTATGAGAAAGTGCTTGGCTGTTACTTCTCCTTCTTTGCTCACAGCAGAGAAGTTAGTTGCTGTGGAATGGAAAGTCTGTCTCTGTATAAAATGAAGTAGAAAAGAGGGGGAATGGTTCCTTGGAAATTTAGAAAACATACGATGACACATGCTTTCTTTAGAAGCTCAAAGATTTGTGGTGGAGACCTTATGCAACGTTTCTGTACAATTTATAATTTCCTTGAAAAAAGGAAGCTGACAGCATTGAATGGGAGGTTTCTTCACATTTTCACTAGAGCAGTGAAGCAGGGAAGTAAAAGTGTCCGATCCCTGATTTTAGACAAGAGGAGATGACGGTTATCGTGAAAGGATAACCTTTTCCCTGTCTTGCTCCTGGGAGCCCTGAGTGTCCTTGGGCAGGAACTCTTCAGCTCCTTGCTGCCAAGCCTTTGTTTCACCAGCCAGCAAGAAGAGAGTGCGCTGAAGAGAGCAGCGCTCCTCCATGCCTAGCAGAAGCTGTGGAGGGAAAATGTGTTTTCTTTTCAGCTCTGCTTTCCTCCAGTCTCATTTCTGGGCTTGAAGAAGAAACAATCTTGCCCTCGTAACTCCAGCCTAGCTCTTACGACTAACTGAAAGAGAGCAAAGACGTGGAGAGTTTACATGCATCAACACCCAGGCTTAGGAAGTTATTAGTGTTTGGCTGAGCAGTGGTGGCTGTCCTTGCTCATGTTCTTAGTCCCCAGCAAATGGTTGCTTTCCTCCCAGAAGGGAGTTTTGTTACCTTGCTCTTGTCAACAGCCACTGTGGCTTGCCTTATGCATGGTGACGTTAAGCCACCACAGCTTGATTGTATCCGTGAGCCGAAGTTACTGAGAGGTGGAATGTCACAGTGGGTAGAGCAGGGAGTTTTTCTCCATGCTAGGAATACTGTAGGTCCCTAGGCGGTGAGAGATGACTTCTTGAAGAAAACGTACTCCTAGAAATTGTCTTTATGAAACAAAAGTCTCTAACAAGTCTCCAAGCTTCATCAGATCAAAACAATGTTTCATCTTGCCCAGCATCCTGCCGCCTTGTGGTCTCCAAACATAAATGTTGGAACTCCTGGGTTCTTATCTTTTCTGGAAATTGTTAATTGAGATGGGTGGGAAGAGATGCTCATACTGGAGCAGCAGGAGCAAGTGAGATGTTTAAAGCTGTCTGAACGGGATAGAAGACAAAGAAAGGCAGGTGGGTTGTGTTGAAAAGATGTGGGAGTGATAGCTGAGCCCTCTCTACCCTGTTTACTTTTCCAGTTCCTGTGCCTGGAAAACGCCACAGCATAAGTGCAGACAACAAGAAGTAGAAACTGTGATAGCATGAGAAGAGTACTTTCATGGGTAGATTGCAAACAAATTGGATAGTCCGTGAGAAGTAAGGCATGGAGAAGACCTTCTGTGTGTGCAGTTCTGTACCCAAGCACACAGAAGTGTGTTTCCCATTGCTTGCCTTCAGTCTCCTGTCTGAGAGTCTGTGTTTCTATGGTATGGCACCAGGCAGAAGAGCAGGACACTTAGTATGCTGATGAGCATTGTTTTTTGCCTATGGGGAGCCTAATCTTCTTAATGCCTGGCTTGGCTGACCTCCTGGCTGCTTTCATATGGAAAGGAGATAGGTTGTGGAGCAAGATGGGCTATAGTTTATTTTCTGGACTCATATACAGTGAAGGGAAGTGACTTGTTTTGATGTGATAAAGCTGTAGTATCTGCATTGATTGATGAACAGGAGTAAGTTTTCATACACTGATGACGTGAGAAGCAAGGGAAGCACAGAATGATATAGGGATTGTGGTGGATTCATGACTTGATGCCATTTAGGAATAAAAAAAAATCAAAACCAAAACAAACACAAAATAGTAGCTGTCACTTGGGAGCAGTTGGCTTGAGGAGTAGGCTTCTGAAATATTTCTCTTTCACCATGCACAGTTACTGTTTAAAGGGAAGTTTTCCATGGTGCGTATTGGGAATCTTGCCTTTATATGAGACCTCATTTATATCTTAATCATGCCCTTCCTTCAACTTAGTAGTAAAAAGTTACCCGCTACCATGGAGAGGAATTGAGTCCTTAATGCAAGTGTAACTTGAACTCAGTATTGACGTGTTTTTGTCTATGCCTACATACATGTCTGCCATGGCAGTAGTCTTGTGATTTTATTTTTTTTTAGAGCCATTCAGAGCTATTCGGAAGTAGGAGGTGATTGCTGAAGACTGAAGTAGGGACATAGAGTTGCTAATGGTTTACAGTATCCCTTCCCCACAGCAGAATTTGGTCTCATCTATTAGATCAGTAGATTTTTTTTTTCCGCACATGTAGCTGTTTTTAATAAAAACTGGAGAAAATCTCTTATCAATCATCTTTTGTTGTTGTTGTTTGTTTATTTATATTGAATGCCTGGGCCTTTTTTTAGCAGAATATGATTGATTCAAAACCGATAGCAGTTTCTGGACAGCTCCCATTTCTTGCTTGCAGCACTGCTACATCTCAGAGGTTGGGATGCTATTTCACATACATTGACTGTGAAATAAACTTGCTTCAGTGACATTTCCAAAGGAAGTCCCTAGTATCCCTGTAATTTCAGAGCAGGCGCTTTGAACAGAGTAGCAATTTTGTCAGAAGTGTGCTTTTTACTAACTCTGTGAATATTCATGCTGAAAAAATTGCAGTTTATTTGCTCAGCAGGAGCTTCAGTCTGGGCATTCTGCAACAAGATGCTGAGATAGATTTCGCTGGTGACAACAGTTCTTCATTTCATCTTTTTCACCAGACCATGGGCAGGAGGCCTAATTCAAGTGAACAGAGGGAAAGTACGGAGGGTAGAGGAGCTTAGGATAGAGAAGATGATCGGGACAATGATTCTACCTGCGACCAGAATGTGGAAACTGGATCCCTTTGAGGTGCCTGTCACATGATTGTGCAGACAGGCTGGGTTTGGGTAATTCTTAACTGACACATAACTTTGCGATTGTGATGTGCTTCTAACCTAAATTTGAATGTGTCTGATATTGCTTGACTAATGCTGTATGCACTGGTTTATAAAACAATTATTAAAGTAACTTTTTTCTTTTTTTTCCCTCTATAGCACACATCCACTGTGAGGACGTGATTGGCATCGTGGGAGAAAATTTTACTTTTCCAGTAAAAATAGACCAAAAAATAACGGAAATTATTTGGACAAAAAACAAGGATAAAGTGGCTGAATGGGAAGGGCAAAAGAAAACAACATATTTTACATCTCTCCATAACAGAGGCTTGCTTAACGAGGAGAATGGGTGCTTGACTATATTTAACTTGGAGAACAATGATGCTGGCAAATACGAGTTAGACTACTTTGATTCAGCGAAAAAAAATGACGTCTTAACCTTCGTACTGACTGTGTTGGGTAAGTAGTGGAAGAACTGCATAAAGAATTTGCACCACGTTACTCACTTTAAGAAGGCTAGAAAAGGGATTGTTTATTTGTCAGGGAAGCAAACAGAAACAGGAGGGCTGTTCTTTGGCTCTATTGTTAAGTTGCTTAGGCACTTTAAACAAATTTTCAAAGGTGGCATCTAATTTATGTGCCCATCATTACTCACCTTGGAATGAGTTCTAAAATGTGTGTAGATGGCACACTGTGTACTTTCAGGTAGGTAACTTGGTCAGCTTGCTCAAAGAGTTTGATTATCCCAGGCATCATGTATCTACTAAAGATGATCCTGCAGGCATATTATATGTGCTTGAATATCTGTGGCATCATCCTGTGCAGATCTATGCAGCTTCACTAGTAGTCTTTGGGAAATATATTTGACCAGTGTGTATATTAGTCCTATTGACAGTGAACCATGAGGAGTTTCAAACTAGGCACTGAAGAACCACAAACAGGGCCACTTTTAGAAATACGTTTCTTACACACATACTTTATACTTATGCTTTTATCTATGCACTCTCCTGCTGCTTTTGTTGCTGCAGCCCCTGTCCCGTTCTAAAATTCAAGGCAGTTTGTAACCAAAGTAATACAGAATGTTTTCTCTCCTTCTAGCTCCCCCTCCAGAACCTGAAATAAATTGCAACATCAGTGGTGATGGCCTTGTGTTAAAATGTACAGCAGATTTCCAGGAACCTCTGAATTACACTTGGAAGTTCAGAAGCATAACAATCCCTCATCAGACCCAGGAAGTTTTCATCCCTATGAAGGATGTTGATGCTTCCGAGAAAGCTGCATGTTTCATTAAATTCTCTCAAACAGAAAAGAGCTCTGAAATCTCTTTGACTCAATGCTTTCCAGATAAAAAAGGTAATGACTCTGTCAGGTTGTATACACAAGTCTGAGAGGCTAGGTTGGGAAGCAGCATGGACTTTGACTGTAAGATTTCTACTCACTTCTCAGGAAGTTGAATTTAAAGAGTAAAAAGCATCAGAAGTGATTTGTCTGCTAAAGGTGTGTTTAAGGTTGGTGAAAGGTATGAGGTTGACAGTTTGGTTCCCCCTGGAAAGATACTTTTTGCAGGGATCTCAACAGAATAATACCTTCAGCTGTGACTTGAAATGAGTAATAATAAAGAGGGAGACACACTTAGAAGTTCTCTTCTGAACCTTCTGGCCTTATGATTTATACTAATGACTGTTGTACTCCTTACACTGCTTTCCATGAACTGGAATGAAACTATTCAGTCATTTCAAGTGAGTCATCTAGCAGCCATTAGATAAAATAATTTATCATCTGGCATGTGCATAAGTCAATGAGCATACTTCTTTTCATCCTTCACAGACAGATATAAGAAGGAGAAAAGAGTTTTCCTGCTGTTGCTTATTGCTTTGGGACAACCTCAGCTGAACTTCAGGTCAGCTTGAAGCTTGCTTTTTTTTTTTTTTTTTAAACATAGGATGAGAACACATTTGGAACCATCTGGTTTGTAGGGTGTGTAAGGCATCCCTAACTGACAAAATCTCCCACTTCTGTGCAAAAGTAATTTTCATGGTTTAGCAGTATAGAATTCTTCTTCCTTCACTGGAATTATGTGTTAGAGACTTGTTAGAAATGAGGCATGTGGTGGGTTGACCTTGGCTGGCTGCCAGGTGCCTGTCAAGCTGCTCTATCACTCCCCCTCCTCAACAGGACAGGGGGGAGGAAATATGACAAAGGCCTAGTGGGTTGAGATAAGGACAGGGAGATCACTCAGCAATTACCGCAACGGGCAGACCAGACTTGACTTGGAGAAAAATAATTTATTGCCAATCAAAATCAGAGTAGGATAATAAGAAACAAGAACAAATCTAAAACACCTTCCCCCCCACCCCTCCTTTCTTCCCAGACTCAACTTCACTCCCAATTTCTCTACCTCCTCCCTCCGAGCAGCACAGGGGGACGGGGAATGGGGGGTTGCGGTCAGCTCATTATGCATTGTCTCTGCCGCTCCTTCCTCCTCACGCTCTTCAGTTCTTCAAGAACTGCTCCAGCGTGGGTCCTTTCCACAGGGTGCAGTCTTTCAGGAACAGACTGTTCCAGCGTGGGTCCCCCACAGGGTCACAAGTCCTGCCAGAAAACGTGCTCCAGCGTGGTCTTCTCTCTCCACGGGTCCACACCTCTTGCCAGGAGCCTGCTCCAGCGTGGGCTTCCCAAGGGGTCACAGCGTCCTTCGGGCGCGTCTGCCTGCTCCAGCATGGGGTCCTCCACAGGCTGCAGGTGGATATCTGCTCCAGTGCCTGGAGCATCTCCTTTCCCTCCTTCTTCACTGACCTTGGTGTCTGCAGGGCTGTTTCTCTCACATATTCTCTCTCCCAGCTGCTGTTGCTCAGCAGTTTTTACCATTTCTTAAATACGTTATTGCAGAGGTGCTACCACCATCGCTGATGGGCTCAGCTTTGACCAGCAGCGGGTCTGTCTTGGAGCCAGCTGGCACTGGCTCTGTCCGACATGGGTGCAGCTTCTGGCATCTTCTCACAGAAGCCACCCCTGCAGCCTCCCGGCTACCAAAACCTTGCCATGCAAACCCAATACAAGATACTTGCTGAAACTTCATTTGGCTGAGATCTGGCTTAGCCTTTCATAGGCCAAAAAATGGAATAGCTATTGCCTTTCAAGCGGCGATGTGCCTTCACTGAACTAAGGTACTTACCATATAACTTTCCTGGAGCTGGCTTAGGGTTTTGCTAACAACTGACTCTGGTGCATTAATTTCTTGAGGTTACTTTTTTAAAAACAAATAGCTATAAAACATACTCAGGGTTGTATTTCTACTGAAGTAGTGTATCATACAGTTGCTTTTTAACTAATCATTCATTATTTATTTTACTTTTTTAAAGGAGACAGCTATCACAAAAGAAACAGAGGCGGTCTTATTGCGGCTTTTCTTCTCATTATAGTTGTAGGAATACTAGGATTCCTATACAGAAGAGGTATGTATAGCATTTCCTACTTGAGCTTAACATGCTTCAAGATTATGCTGGTCTAAGGTTCTGTAGAATGTATGAAAGTTTCTGACTGTAGGATGTATTGTAAATACAGTAGTAGAAACAAGTACAACTTAGGTGAAGGCTAATGGATTTGAAGGAAATATACTGAACTTTCCTGCACTCAGATACTGGGCTCTGTGTACTGGGAAACAATGTAGTTTGTATTTCTCCTTCAGACCGGATCTTTCATTTACTGTGTGTTTCTACTTACCAAGTATCTATGGCCTCTCCCATTCCTACTTTGAGTGTGCTTTCACTGCCTTTTTTTTGAGAGGATCATAAAGCTGCCCTCAAGATCAGTTTTATTGTTGTGGGACAGGCTCATACCAGGGCCTGTTGAATACCTTATGCTGAGTCTAATCTGACAACTCAGTATGCTCAACTGGTACGTAGGGACTTCTGTGACTCCTGTCAGCCTGTATTGCCACCATCTTGCAGTTCTAGATTTGTTTCTTGGTCTGTCCCTACACTGAATTCAAGTATCTATTTTGTAAATCTGACAGCTTATTTGGAAATGGTAATTGTAGGCTATCACTGTGTATCTCTTGCTGCCACCTTTTTAGGTTAATATGTCAGATTGTATTCTGGCTTGAAAAAGAGGTGCACGCCATCTCTTCTCTTTGCATTTGAGAGAGTCCCAAACAGGAATACGTTGCTTCATCCTAAGAGTGCTCTGCATGGAAAATTCCTGTTGGCTTCCAGGTGGGGTCACCACTTGGGGGTGGCTACAGGGTGGAGAGCATGCGATGCATCTCCTCTCTGGGAAGAACTAATTGACAATGTTCTGGAGGGAGGCTCTGATCAGAGCCTACATAGATGTACGTTGCATGTGGACCTTATGCTTTCCTGATCGTTCTCCATTTAGTTTCTGTTGGCATGGAATCATAAAATAAACTAGGTGGGAAGAAATCTCTGGAGGTTTCATCCAACTTGCTGCTCAAAGCAGGACCAACTTCAAAGCTAGATCAGGTTGCTCAGGGCCTTGTCCAGTCAAACTTTGAATAATTCCAAGGATGGAAGTTCCCCAGCCTCTTTCAGCATGTGTTCAAGCGCCGAATCACCCTTGTGGGGAAGGATATTTTCCTTATTTCTGTTAGGGATTTCCCTTTTGCAACTTGCAGCCATTGCCTCCTGTCTTTTTGTTCTGTACTTCTGAGAGGATTTTCCTTTGTTTTCTATGTAAGTTAACTGTAGACTGCAATTAGCCATCCCTTTAGCCTTCTTTTTCTTCAGGCTGAACAAACCCAATTCTCTCAGTACCTCCTTGCACAGCTCCTGCCCCCTAAACATCTTGGTGGACATTTGCTGGACTAGCTTCAAAATGTCAGTGTTTTTTCATTAATTGGGAGCCTAAAACTAGACACAGTACTCCACAATGTGGTGTCACAAATAATTCTGCTAACGCAGCCCAGTATCTGGTAGGCTTCTACTGCAAGGGCACATTTCTGACTAATGTTCAACTTGTCGTCCACCAGGGCTTCCGGGTCCTTTTCTGTAGAGCTGTTTTCCAGCCAAGCAGAGCTCAGCCTGTACTGCTCCGTGGGGTGATTTCAAGAGGTGTGGGGCTTTACGTTTGCCTTTGAACATCACATCTTTTCTGCCAGCACATTCTTCCAGTTTGTTGAAGTTCCTCTGAGTGGCAGCCCTGCCCTCCAGCATATCCCCTACTCTCCCCAGTTTGATGTCATCTGCAAACTTTCTGAGGGTGCCTTCTGTGTGCTTATCCATGTTGGTGGTGTTGAACAACACTATGCTTGGTACCAACACATGAAGAATGTCAGTCATAACTAGCCATCAGTTAGACTCAAAACAATTCGACTACTTCCCTTGAAACAGCGAAGCTTTGACCATGCTAGAAAATAAACGTTATATATCAGTAGGATAAGCACTGCATAGGTGTAATCAAACAGAAGATGTGATTTGCTGATTTAAGAACAAGACTCAGAGTCATGAACTGCTAAACTCTGCTTTAGATTTGGTTAGATGTGTTCTGACTTGTTGTTGCAGGAGGCCCGTTTTGTTGATCTCTCACTGATTGTCTTTGCTCCAAAACAATGTTTCACTGTTTGTTCTTCCCCCAAGCCAAGTATTCAGTTGCACATCCTCAGTGATTTTTTTTTTTTTTGTTTGAGTTGTGGGGATGGGGAATGGATAGAGGCTCTCAGTTAGTTTCCAAAGGCACAAAACTTATTTTTGAGTAATTTCTCCAGGTATTCTATTTGTTCTGGTGCAGGTAGAACTGCATCTGGAACAGGAAGAGCTGCTCAGAAGAACAGTCCAATGCATGGCTCAGGTAAGAGAGCTAGGGTGTCACAAATGTGTGGAAATCAGACTATTGCTTTAATTTGGTCTAGGCTTGTAAGTTTTTTCTCTGTGGCAGTATAGTCTTTCATTGGAGAGGTAAAGGAGTTAAGTTTTCTTTCAGGCCTTAGTTGTTTTACAGAGTGTAGTTATTTTTTCCAGGTTATTAATACATACTTTCTAAAATAAATAAATTTCGTTATAGGAGAATGTCAGCTACTTTGCTCTGTCGACAGCCAACAACAGCCTAACTCAGACAGAGGTAAGAAACCTGTATTGGGGTATAGATGTTTTTAAACATCTGCAAGGTGGTTGGAGCAAGGAGCCTGAAGCTTTTGAGTTGATCTTCAGTGTGTGCACGTGACCTCAAAGTCTCAGTTGAGGTCCCATATTGGATAATCATAGGGACCTGCACTTAGTGGATGTGTTAGTGGGGCTCGCGGAATTACTGACAGTGAATGGCACGAGATTTGCCTGGTCAGCAACTCTCTTTGGAGATGAATTCCGCTTCTGACAATGGAGAATGTGGGCTGACCTCAGGATGAGGCCTGGAAAAGTGCACACTATAGGGCAATCTGTCTGTTGGAGAACTTACTCTACCTGTTTGGTTAGGGCTGGTTTACCTGCTGAAATGAGGTTAATATTTCTTCCATCTCTTTTAATCTTACATGCCTGTCTCGCTTATATAAACTTCTTTCAGAAATTTGGTTGATTATTTTTCTAAACCCAGTATTCATATCAAGTGCTTAGGGCTGGACGTGAATGTAATACATTGCTCATTTCCAGTGCCCCCCATGGCAATTTCTTGCTGGCTTATCTTGGAAATTGGTCAGCTAGCCTTTTTCTCAGTGCATTGAATTTGACTTAGAAAGCTGGTGGTTCCAGTGGGTGGGGGTTGATGCTGTGCATGTAGCAGTAGATTTAATGATGACCGTTGAAGGTAGTATCACATCAGACTGGCAGGAGTTTGCTGTTAGTTTACCTTGGTCATATCTTGAAAATCCATCCAAGACAGGCACGTTGCTAGTCTGATGTGCAGAACTCTGGTCCTTGCTTTTGGTGCATGACTCTGGTGCATGCTTACATCCTGTGGGTCAGGTTGCAATTGTCTCCTTTTCTTTCTCTAACCCCTTTCAGTTGTTTCAGGAAAAAGTCTGTTAGCAGCACCTTTTGAGTCACTCTTACTCCATTTTGCAGGCCTGTCTTCTCCTTGTAACAGTCAAGATGAGGGAAGGAGACAGTCAGTGGAGGAACTTCTTACCTCTTTCCAATTAGTTACCAGTCTGCTGCCCACCGATGATTTCTTTACATGATGCAGGTGGTACAGATTCTCAGGGTTGTCTGCATTCCTGTCTTCCTGTCCAGATCTCCACTTGTACTTCTGCTGTCCATTCTAATTCTGCTGCTTTACTTTTTCCCCTTTTTTTCCCCTTCTCCCCCCTTTTTTTCCCCTTCCCCCCCCCCCTTCTGTAATTTACAGTAAGATTACTCGGTTCGCTGGCTTGTGGGCCTGTGTGTTGGGGTGCGGGAATCACTCTATACAGTGAGCAGCTAGGGAAGGGGACAGCTCCTTTAGTCTGTGCTCCTTTCACAAGGGTGAATGAGGGTAACGTGTTCCAGCTTTAACATGTGTGTGTCTTGTTGCCAGGACCACTGTGGTCTGTTCTTATGAACCAAACTAAATCAGTCAGTCAAGCAGATTAGGGAGAGCAGGGGAAGACTCTTAAAAAATACTTTGTTTTGGAGGTCACCAGGCCAAATACTGTTTCAATGGGGAATGGCCAAAGCTCCTGCTATCAGATACGAGCTCAGTGTCCTGTTGGAGTGTTCTGGTGTGAACTAACAGTGGCTTCATGTGGGATAGTCGGTCTGGTATCTTACACGAGCTGCTGGAGTTAGCACAAGGCTGGAGCAGGATGTTTCTTGGATTGCAAACTACTGTGTCACCTTTGCAGAGATTTTCTGTGTGTTTAATTTAATTTCCTAAGTTGTTCTTTAATTTAATTTCTGAAGTTTCTTAATGTTTTTATGGGCTTGGAGGTTAAAAAAACGTGATGAGGTCCTTGATGATGGGCCTGGAAAAGATGCCACAGGTAGAGGGGCAGCACCATGAAAGCAGGGGTTTGTGGGTTTGTTTGGGGTTTTTTCCTCCCTTTCTACCCGCCCTGCCCCAGCATATCAAAGTCTTATGAGCTTTTTAGCAGGATTTTGGATAAAGAACTTCGTTTTTCTTCTGTGGTTCTAGCCCATGGTTCAGAGATCACTGAAGTCTGGAGACTACGGATGGATTTGAAAGTGAAAAAAGGAGAAGGATGGGAAGGAAAAAAACCAACCAAAAAAACCTCCTTTTGATACTGCACTTAAGTTTACTTTAGAATGGCCCATGTTTCTGTTAGAGATTCTTTAAGGTCTGCAAAGAGAAAGGGTTTAAAGTCACAGTGTTAGTGCAACACATACATGAAGTAAAAAAAGGAGATGTGGATTCTCTTCTCAGCTGTCTCTGGCTTTTTATGACAAATCTGTGCAGCTTTATCATCTTAAGTAAACCTACTTCAGAAAGATTTTGTAAAGCTGTAGGCATATGTATAGATAATGTTGGTTATGGTCTGGGACCTTAAGTGATTGCTGGAAGGAAGTTGAAGTTGAAATTAATTGTGAGTCCTTCAATGAAGTGGCATAACATACTAGTTCTCAGGAGTATCTGCTAAAAGTGTTATAGTGAAACTGTCACTTTAAGGCTGAGTTGCATATTTTGCGGACTATTGTGCTACGTCCATACACATTTCTAAAAAGGATTTCTGTTTACTTGCAGCTACATCTTCACAAGCTGTTGATTATGAGAATGAAAAGCCTGAAGCAGGTAACAAGTGAGACGGTGCCCTAAAACAGGGGAACATGAAGGGGGGAATTAATTTTTGCACATGGCCTTTCATAGTCCAAAACATATTAGCGTGTTCTTAGTGCAGAGATTACCATTCCCCTGTTGGCCTAGAAAGACCTGTTGCCTTAGGAACAGTAAATGTTGATGGGTAGGTCACTGGATGAAAAGTCAAAAAGGCCTGGATCCTTGTGTTTGTTAAACAGCACTGAGCAAATACCTTCTTGGGGCTTCAGCTTCCCTCTTGGTATGATGAGAATGATGCTGCATGCTGTGTTTGCAAATCACTTCATGTGTGGAAAGGAGGACTAAGCATGTATGAGGGAACCCCTTTTTATGGTAAATTACGCAAAAGGGTAATTTGCTTATGTTACCTTTTATTTGCATGCAAAAGAGTGCAAGGATATTTTTGTAGTTTGTCATCATGGGTAGGTGATCTTTGCTTTCTGCCGGAAAGAAACCCTCAAGCAGGACCTAAGATAATAAAATGCTGCGACTTCAAAGCTTTGTTTGTATTGATGGCGGATAGATCTGAGTCTCCACAAACCGATTTAGAGATGGGATGCTTACAAGCTTGCAAAATGCTAATCTGGGAGATACAGTGGGCTTCTTTCCTTAGATAAGCACCATTTCTGGGTGCAGTGTCTTCCACTTGCTTTATGCTCTAGGGAAGTCTTTTGACTGCATTCATCAGGCAGCTAGGCAAAGCCCCAGTTTTGTTTTCTTAGTACAGCCAGGGTAAATTTCAAGGAAATTCTGGGAATTTTTTTTTTTTAGAAGTTCTTTTTACTCCAGAGGGATAGTAAAATATGAACATTGTAGTTCAAGTCAGCAAAAAAATGTTTTTTTCCCCAGGCTGTTGCACTGATGATTCATTCACTCACTAACTCTTCCACCATTTTCCACAAGCAGCTGATAATAAGGGGGTTGGAGAAGGCAGAAGTTTTTCCTGATTAAGGGAAAAATCACTGATGATGACAATAAGGAAAAGGAAACCCAGAAGCCCCTGGGTTTTGCCGCTTATTCTTCCTGCATGAATTGTAATGGGCGTAGAACAGCTTTCCTCATCTGAAGAAATAGGGGTTGTGTAGCTGGTGGCAAAGGTGTGATGCACTGTGGGATTGTTTTGTCACTTGTGTAACTGTTTCCACATACATAGATATGGATATAGGAGAAGGAGGTTTATTTTATGCCTGTCTTACAGAAGAAAGGAGGGAAGCGTACAGTTCAGGCAAAAGAGAATCGGGTCCATAGATAAAGATTGTCTGTTTCGACACTAGAGGAACAAAATAAAATACTTTATTTTGTTGCAGTATAGAGTGAGAACGTCAGGAAGGGGAGTCAGTGCACCTTTGTGCAGTACGCCCTGCAGCACCTAGGTAGCATGCCATCACTGCTGTACAGACGATAAACAGCAGGCAAGGCTATGATGTTCTCTGAAATGCATGTACAAAGCAATTCTAAACGGAGTTTCTGCTGGTAGCACAGCAGTACATAACAATTGCAGAGGAGAAGGTGTGCTGCTGAGCTCTGGACAGCACAGAGCAATGACTTATGCTGGTGTGGGGAAGAAGCAATGGAGTGTGCTCCTGACGGACTGTAGCTCTTCTCTGATCTCTTTTCAGACAAAGAATTGAACAAGGAGGACAGTGCCCTAAAAGACAAGTGGACAGTTAACAATGGTGTAAATCAGGAAGGTAAGTGCTTGTTCTATGGAGCAGTCAGTGCTAATGACCCAGTGGGCAAACTGGCCAGGATCCCTTAGAGTTGAAGGCTCAGAGAGACTCTTGTGTAATGCTTCTTAATGGTGGTGTTGGGGGGGATTGTGCCATGAATGCTGAATACCTGTCCTCTGTGCAGGAGTTTCAGGAGCAGAGTTAACCAGCTTTCAGGCCGCAGTCAAGAGCAGCTGTTTTATGTTCTGCTAGGGCAGAGAGAGTCTTACATTTTTACCACCCTTGGAAATAACCCCAGCAGAGTATACGGGCTTGAAGGAGGTGTGTTCTGGATATCAGTGGTTTTTTTTTTTTAAAAAAAAAAAAAAAAATTCCAGTCAGACTGAGATGAGAATACTGGTCAAGTGGCAGTCCCTGCTGAAGTGCTGGCTTCTGGTCTTCTAGTTAATGCTGCCTGTTGGGAGATCTCTGGGCCTACACCCACACACCCCCAATGTGCACACATGAAGCACTTAAGTGGGGAGCAACAGTTGATGTGACCAAGAGGAAGCTTTGCCAGCTTCTGTCTGGGTTTGGAGAGATTGCTACTCTGTGAAATGGAGTCAGGCTGTCCGTCATTGTCTCTGGTGGAAGACAGTACTCCATGTGTGTCTGTCTTTAACCTCCCTGACATCTGCTGGGAAGGCAACACAGCAATTCAAGCAGTCAGGAAGATTTCTGGGCAGCGTCAGGGACAACTTCTTCACACAGGCTACCGGATGCACCAGCAAGGGCTGATGTGCAGCTGTACCTGCTGCGCACTAACAGAGAAGGACTGGATGGGGATGTGGTCACCAATGGCTGCCTTGGCTGTAGTGACCAAGAAACAGCTCCAGATCCTGAGAGGAGTGATGAAGGTAAACATCAGAGTACAGGCCCTGCCCTTTCAGGGAGCAAAATTCCTCTTTTTCAGGAAGATGGTAGGCAGGATCTCATGGGAGACAGTTCCAAAGAGCAAAAGGAGCTCAAGAGAGCCATCAGGCCCTTAAGGAGGACTTTCTCCAAGCATGAGCACAGGCCATCCCCACAGTCAGGAAAACAGGCAGGCAAACCAGAAGATCAGCCTGGCTAAGCAGGGACCTCCTGACAGGGCTCCAGTGCAAAAACTGCTTATACTAGATGTGGAGGCAGGGACAGGCTACAATGGAGGAATTTAGGAACAGTGCCTGCGTGGGTAGGGATGGTGTCAGGAAAGCCAAGGCTCAGGGAGACTTGAAACCACTATGGGATGACCAGGACAATGAGAGCAACTTCTGCTGCTAGGTTATCTATAAAAGAATAAACGAGGAACATGTGGGCCTGTTGCTGAACAGGGGATTGATTTAGTGGTATCTGATGCTGATGAAGCATAGGCTAGGTGAGCAGACAGTGAGGCAGACTGAAAACTGAACATGTTTCTGGTCACAGGAGAAAGATGGTGACTGGGAGTAAGCAGGATGGTTTTACCAAGCATATATTACAGTTGACCAGCTTGACAACCTTTTTTAGATGAAATGACTAGATCTGTGGATGAGGGGAGAGCAATGGGTGTCTTTAGCAAGTCTTTTTATGCAATGTCCCACAGCATCGTTAGAGTCCTAAGTTGGGATGTCCTAGTCTGGATGAATGTCTACCTACCTGGGTAGAAAACTTGCTAGATTGTCAGGCCTGCAGGTAGTGGTTAATGCGTTGTACTCCACATGGATGCTGGTGGCAAGTGGAGTACTGCAGAGGTCTATTTTTTTGGTGACCTGGACAAGGGAGGGAAAACGGTGTCATTGAGTTTATAGATGACAGCAAAATGTGAAGTGCAGTCAATCAGTATGAGGGCAGGACTGTCATTCAGAGGGAGCTGGAGGGGAAGAGGCCTACACAAACCTCATGAAATTCTGCAGGGGCAATGCAGGGTCCTGTGCCTGGATGGACCAACAGCTTGCACTGGTGCAGAATGGGGACTGACTGGCAGGGGAGCAGCTCTGCTGAAAGGTACCTGGGAGTCCTTATGGACAGTACACTATGAGTCAACAGTGCTCCCTGGCAGCAAAGGTGGCTGATAGCATCCTAGGCTGTTTTAAGGAGTGCTTAAGCCAGTGCATTGAAAGAAGTGGTTATTTTCCATTACTTGGCACTTGTTAGATGACATGTAGAGTATTACATCTAGTTTGTGGCCCACCCAGTGCTGGAAAAGTGCTGATAAATTTCATAGAATCATAGAATCATTAAGGTTGGAAGAGACCTCCAAGATCATTGAGTCCAACCGTCAAGCCACCACCACCATGCCCACTAAACCATGTCCCTAGGCGCCTCATCTACACGTCTTTTAAATAC